AAGTAAAAATGGGCAAAAATCACAAATAATTAACAAAGTGCCATGTAAAAATCCAAAAAATTGTACAGAAGGACCAATTATTATTATTTTTATTTCTTTTGGAGCGATTGTCGCGCGAAACAAAAATTACGTGCTCACAACGCTAATGTACCGGGACACATGTTCGCATCGGCCTAGATGAAGGTTTGTCGACGGTAAAATCCTTCGTCGTGTCGAACCCGATGGGAGTACACTGTTCAATGGTGGGTATCACTTTGGGCTTTCCTTTGGATGTTAGGGATGAAGAGGTAGCCTCGTCTTTTCGAGGAACTATCTTGGAAGTTCTAGCCATGATGGTGGCAAAACTTTTTTGAGAAAGCAGGCAAAGGACCAAGAACGTAAGAAGAAAGAATGCGAAAGGGGGTGGGAAAATTTGAAGATGTTGAGAAAGTATGAATTATCAAACGAATGATACATTTATAGGAACCGAGTGGGCAGTGGAAAGGACAAGCCAATAGCAGTTTGTGGGCTCCTCGATAGTTGTGTTTGACGGTGACTTTTGCGTGGCTTTTTGAATTATGGCATTTAATGCTCTGATGGGCTGACGTCATAGCGATGATGCTTATGGAGTAGGAGCTCAAAATCGTTTCTTATCACTTTATTCTAGGAAATGCGGGTACTATCTATATACGGTGGAAATTGATGGCTCGATTTCATGGGCATTAAGGCATCTCGAGGGCTTCCAGTGATCAACTCCGAGAATTCTCAATGATCGACTTCGAGACAGTTCAACTTCGAGGCAGTATAATTAATGACCGGCCCCAAGGTATTGTGAATTACCGATCTCGGCGGATCAAGGTGGAGTTCCCAAGGCACGTGCATATGGCAGGTCAAGTCTAGTGGACTAGCCTAAAAAGCGAATCAAGGCATTAAATGGTTGTACCAGCCCCATATCTTTATAATTAATGTGTTTGTACTATGTTGGGATTCCCCCTCTTATATAAAGGGGATCCTTCTCATTTTGTAAACATTTGTTGCTCCATACTAAATACACTAGAATATTCTCTCTGCTCTCTACACATTCTCTTGGTCTTGTTATCTCATTTATTTCTCATATTTATTGTGTTCTATTTATTGTTCAACATTTATTACTTATTATTGGCCATAAAGAGCCATCTGTGATTTATTTATAACTGTTAGTCCCCATCAACCACCTTAGATAGCTCCCAGCCGAGCTTCAGACTCAACCCCGAGGCCCTCAAATAGGCAAGCTCAAGGCCCCGATTGGCAGCGATTCCGTTTGATTAACATCTCATTTTTAAGCTCTTATTTCATCTCTAAGTCTTTCACATAGCATCAACTGCCTAACAACTAGCATAAAAATAGATCACGTATTTTTAGAACCACTAAATCAAATTTAATTATTATTACCATTTTCACGGTAAACATCTAGGACTTGATTATTTTGTTGTTTTGTCACATGATCACTCTTTGTTTCCATTTATTGATTTTGTTTTCTGTTGTTAGACTTATATTGATATTCTACACAGGTTATTCGATTAGTGGGTATCTTGACTCGAACGTCTTTATTATTTCACTGAGGTTAGTCTTGATAATTTCTGGGTACCGACCGTGGTGTACTCATACTACACTTATGCACATTTTTGTGCAAATCCAGGTATTAGGGATAGCAGTACCAACCAAAGTTAGCTTCTTGATCGCAAGGATTCAAGGTGGAGCTGTTTGATCATCATATTCCCTTGGAGTCCTTCCTTTTACATTTATACTGTCAAATTTATAACCAAACAGTATTGTATTTTGAGATATTTCTATGTATTCAGCTAGAGTTCGTGACTCTGTACTACCTAGTCTTGGTGATTTGTAGTGATTATCATCGTGTTGGGATGTATCACCTTTAAATTTCTCATTTATAGTAAATTTTGCTTGATAATATCATGTTTAATTAATTTAACTGTTGTAAGTGACCGGCTTACCTAAACTAGTTTAGAGATTAGGTGTCATCACGATCCTTAAGATGAAAGTTTGGGTTGTGATAGGATCGATAAGGGTGGATATTATTACTGTAGAGCGATAAGGGTGGATATTGTTATTGTGACAAAATGTGGGATACGAGGTGACATATGCCTCTGTTTCTATTTGATGAGTTGTTTGACTAAAATAAAAATAAAAAATACGTTAAGTTATTATCACATGATTACCGAGATTGTTGATATTGCACTCTATTATATACTCTTGTTGCTAGTTTTTTTATATATATTGCAGAGGTTCTTTGGCTAGTGAATATCACATGACTTGAACGTCATCACAACTTCACCGAGGTTAGTCTTCATACTTAATGGATAACGATTATGGTGTACTCATGCTATACTTCTACATATTTTTGTACAGATCTGGGTGCTAGAGGTAGCGTACCTCGTGAGTGAGCTTGTGACGGATCGAGAGGATTCAAGGTAGTACTGCATAGACATCGCACACCCTTTCAGTCCCCTTCTCTTAATTTATATTGTTGTATTTTCTTTCAAAGAATATTAAACTTATTAAGACTCGCTATGTATTCTGTTTAGAGCTCATGACTCGGTATTACCTGATTTTGGGGTGTTAACTTATGTACTTATGTTTTGGCTTTATTAAGACTTAATTTTGTAGTTTATATTATAATTTTAAAGTTATTATATCGTATTTCGATGTTTTGTATCATTGCGTGATTGGCTTACCTAGTCTTAGAGGCTATGTTCCATCACGACCCCTTTGATAGAATTTGGATCGTGACGATCTCACCCCAAGTAACTTTCGGACGGGTCCTGCCCTATTTATTGACTCGGCACATTTTACTCGTCCATAATCAGCCCAACCGTTCATTTGACACCCCTAGTTGAAACTCCAATAAATTACACTACATTTTTTTATGATTAAAATTAGCGGAGTATTATCCAAATTATTTTAATTATAGGGTGTATATAGTATGAAGAAAAATATTTTTTTGAAAAACGAGTAATTTTATCACTTATTTTCTGATGTTTGATTGGTGAGTAAAAAAATTTGAATATTTTTAAGTGTTTGGTTAGTGAGTATACAATATTTCTTTTAGAGAATATATAATTTAAGTAAACACAATAAGAGACTAAAAGGGTGAGGGGGTCGATATGGGGTTATAGAGTTGGGGGTGGGCCGTTGGGGGCAGGGTGTNGATTTTTTTTTTTAGCAAATTATACTACTAGGATGGCTACCTAGTAGCTATTTTATTAATAATAAAAAAAAGAAAACACAAAGAAAGAGTACAAGTAAGGGGAGCAAAAAATAAAGTAGTGTTGCCTCTATTGCCTTGGCTATATAATCATCCATGTGCGCCTCCATCACCTCATGATGACAGCCTCATGACCGCTACCGACAAAGTTTCACGAGGGCGAATGATCTCATAGCTATTTGAATACTTCACAAAGGCATAGGACATATAGAAAACACTTACTGAGCTAGACCTTACCTTACAATTCGTATTGAAAAAGTGTTTTGGAAAATATTTTTTCTTCTCTTGACAGGGAAAATATTTTTCTTTAATTGGAGAAAAATGAGTTTGTGAGGAAAATATTTTCAAAAATATTTAAGCCAACAAAATATGAAAAAGTTGAAAAATAATTTTTCAGAAAATATTTTTCTTTATACCAAACACACTTATATCCATTACTCCTAAAGGAGAAAACTCAGTTGAAACCCCATTATTTTGACTAAAAATTTTTGTTTGGCTGAAAATAATGGAATTGCAACCACTTTTTTTTTGTTAGATATTTTATCCGTCAAAGAAAAAATATAAAATTTGAATAAATAGCCATTGCATCTAAAGAATAAATAAATAAAAACCAGGTAACATGTACATTGTATATTAAGAAGTAAGAAAAAATACCCAATTGAAACAAATAAATCACTTTATATGATTATGTGCTAATTAACAATTGGACATTTAGAAATTGATTCTTCGATTTTTTTTTCACTCCATTGTACCTAAATGAAAGTGTGTTTACGCTATTTGTCATATCAATATCTAGAGTAAATTATAACACATAGTTAAGGTCCATATTGGTAATTAAACTTAGAAGATTATAAGTCAACTTGGAAGAGCTCAAACTAAGTGATCACGGATGTAAGTCCCAATAGAAGCATTAATTGACATAAAATGAAAGTAGATACTCTTGGGTGAAGAATAATTTTTAGGAACTTGTAAACTTGAGAGAAAAAAATGACCTCCATTTTTCTTTTTCAATTATTTTTTGACCCAAAATTTGCTAACACATGGTTTAATCGCTAAAAGGGGTAGCGGGGGCCAATTCAATATTATTAAAACTTAAGAATTAGCTATTAAAGTTAGAAAATTTTATTTTCTACCACTTCTCCCCCCCCCNAAGCAGGACACGATTAACTCTTTCGTGTCTACATAGACCTTAGTATTGTATAGTTTTTTCGATTTTAATAATTTTTAGGTAATATCAAATTCATCTTTTACTTTTTATTAGAAGTGTAATTTTGGGTTAAAAGAATAAGTTGTTTCAAGTGAAATGTATGTGTTGCTGTTATATGTAGGTGGGTTTGTAAAATTAGATGTTCTTATCGAGAATTGATATTGGTCCCAATTTATATACTTTTGGGCTCTGTTTATTCAATTACCGTAGCTATCGCAACCTAAGTTCTGTAATAAACATATGGTCGATTATTGTAAGTTTTCATATGCTCGCCAGAACTGTGATTTTATTGATTGTATTATGATAGCATTATAAATATAGCTTTATAATTTAATACATTTTATTTACCTTACCTCTAATTCTAGGATTTGTATCTCCATCAGTTATATAAAGAGTAGACCATTATAATAGAATCAATACAACTTTGCACTCATTCATCTCTAGCCTTGTACATTTTAAGTTCATGTTTCGAATTATTAACTGTGATATTGTTCTTTTGTATTTTTGAATTATGACTGTTATGAACTTCTCAAAGAACACAACTACAAATATGAATTATGATTGATCTTCCATTAATGGAAACTCAGTACATAGAATTAGAGAATACAAAGATAGACTTTAACATAAATGAGGACAGTGACAGAAAGAAAGGATAAGGGGGGAGGCAGATTCACAGATGAAATAGAGATGAGGGATAAATAGACCAGAGAGAGGATATGTTTCTAACAAATTCAGCTTCCCCTCATAATGCCCGTATACTCTGCTATTTAACTAATAGTCTTTGGAGAGGCCTTGTTGTTCTCTTGCTTTCCCAGACCGGCCCAATACTTGCATTCTCATCTGGCCCAACATCTATCTAAAGCCCAGCTTCATTTTCTATCATAACATTACCCCGTCCTCAATAAGAACCTTGTCCTCAAGGTTCGACACAAGAAATCCTTCAATAAAGGATAATGGTAAACTAGTTGTAGCTAGATAAACATTCACATGTATAAGGCCTAGCTGGACAGTCCACTTGCATATCAAAAAGAAATCAGCAGCCCCATGTGTGCCAGCAACCCTAGTGCGGAAAATGATATTTACTGCAGCGGCATCAATAACTAACACGAAACTTGCTATACATATTTCTATGGCGAGCTCATCTCTATCACATGTAGGAAGGAGAACAAGAACCCCCTCTATAACAAGGGCACGCTGTGCTTCTAGCAAGGCAACAAATGCTGGGCAGTTTCTGTGGCTGCCCTTTTTCTCCAGTATGTCAACCCATAGGTCCATTGTAATTAGCTGTTCATTTGTTCTCCTACTCAAAGTGCTGAAACGCCCCTCCATAGACTCAACTACGCCATTAAATTCAGGACGAAGCTCTAGAGTTTCAAACATCCCCAAACAATCAGTGGAGTCAATATTTCTACTCCCTTTTATTTTTCTCCGCAACTCACCTAGTGCACCATTAACTCTAATGCTACCTATAGAATGTGATTTATAAGGGAATAAAAACCAAAATATGACAAGCCATATTCTAACTTGGTAAATTCATGAATACTTGTTTTCCAATCTTGAAGATCAAGGGTGTCAACAGAGAGAGGTGCATTGTATATAAATAGCGTAGCTATGGCATTTAAGGTTGCTTCAAAGACACCATCTCTGGCTTCAAGAATTGGTACATCCAAAGGGCCTCCTCCCGGATCGAAGACTACATGCATTTCAAAAGTAACTTGGGCTCTCGGATTTACCCCCGTTTTCCCAGCTATGACAATTTGAAGGACTTGTGCAGTTCCTTCTCTGTGAAATTGTCCAGCAACATTTAGAACTAAACCAAGATGTGGAGCATTAAAGTCAGTTGTTGGCCTAGTAAAATAGCGAGCGCAATAATGATGATGCAACGAGTGCCCTATGGAATCCCACACATGAGTCATAGGGTTAGCATATACGAAGAAGAAAAACATGCAAGTAGATCCCATCAATGGCAGTGTCTCCATATTCACTGTATAACCCATTTGATACTTGGACTTGAAATGTATTCCTGGATTAAATGGAAATTGAGTCGAAAGAAGTTGGTCAATAAAAGTGGTATTAGTACGACAAGATGATTTCTCTGGAATTACCTTGAAATTGACCACAACTATGGTCGAATAATCCTTACAAGTGTTGTCGAATTTCATTGAGAAAGCAATATGTGGTACACTCACCATCATTAGAATACCTTCATCTTTTCCATGCTCAACATCAAGTATTGTTTCATTCGAAGGCATTTCACCTGGTGGAATCTCATCCTCATTCTCCGTAAAAAAGTTAGCAAGATATAGATTAACAATAGTCTCACGCTCCATAAAAAAATCAGCAAGATATAGGTCATCCCAGGTCTCACAATTAATGTGTTGTTCACTAGAGCCACGATCAAGAGAAGATGCAGTAACATACCTCTCTGACATATCTCTATGAACACTTTTATCAAACTGTTGGACTTCGCTGCTTGTAGGACCTGTAGCTTCTAAATCAGGTATGTCGATTGGAGCATCTGATTGTGCGTCGACCAGTAAATTGGGGCAGCAGCTATATAACATTGCGTCGAACACCTTAGGTGACTGATAATCGTCCAACTCGGGTACAAAGTGAGAGACATAAGCATTTGTTTCTGTGCTTTGGCACGTTGTTGTAACAAAAGAATATTCCTCTTCTGTTCTGGCGAAAAGTCCATGTGACATTTCATCAAACACATGCTTGGCCTCTGAGTTACCAACTTTGAATGCAGATTCTAACTCATAGAAGTTGGAATTATGGCGTAAATCAGCTAAAGGAGATACCTGAGTCTTAGACGAATTCAAAGTAGAGTGGCTAATGTAGCTATGATACGCCAAGGATGAATCGGCAAGCCTCCTCTTCGAATCTATGACAGGTAGTTTCCGAAATCGCAAAAACAATTTCTCCTTGAAATGGTTCCAATCATAGAATTGTTTGTTGCGAAAGAGCCAATCAAACCAATTGAGGGCATCACCTTCCAGGTAAAAATATGGAAGAGGTAACCAATCTTCTTCGGAGAAACCCAGAAATTTGAAGTAACGCTCCGCCCGATAAACTCAGCCCTCTGGGTTGCCATTGCTGAACTTATCCAGTATCACCACTGCCATTGGAGTCCAAATCGATGAAAGCACCAATGTTATGAACTTCTCAAAGAACACAACTACAAATATGAATTATGATTGATCTTCCATTAATGGAAACTCAGTACATAGAATTAGAGAATACAAAGATAGACTTTAACATAAATGAGGACAGGACAGAAAGAAAGGATAAGGGGGAGGCAGATTCACAGAAGAAATAGAGATGAGGGATAAATAGACGAGAGAGAGGATAGGTTTCTAACAAATTCAGCTTCCTCTCATAATGCCCGTATACTCTGCTATTTAACTAATAGTCTTTGGAGAGACCTTGTTGTTCTCTTGCTTTCCCAGACCGGCCCAATACTTGCATTCTCATCTGGCCCAACATCTATCTAAAGCCCAGCTTCATTTTCTATCATAACAATGACGTCGGTTATTTTTGGATTTGAACTACGATGTCAGCTGTTTTAGAATTTTGAACTATAAGAACTATAACATTATTGTATCTCTAAATTTCTCTTTTGCTTTTTCTTACTGTCTTTATGTTTTTGCATTTTATAATGAGTTTTTATAAGAAGTAAAATGCATGTGGTGCTGCTCTTCTAGAGAGGGCGAATGTTGTCTCGTGTTGATCTACAGATCAAGTTATTTGATTGTTGTTACAACATGAGTCTATATACCAACTGTTTACAATCAATCTCTTTATATATCCATAAAATATTATATTTATTGCTCTACCATGTATGAGTTAAATGACAATCACTGATTTTATTGGTTACGTAGGTGTGATGAATATGGACACCATCCTTTGAATTAATTAAAAGGATTAATATAAACACAATCAATTCTATGAGTTGATAAGAAAATTCAAAATATTTGAGAAGCTTGAGAGCTGTTGTTAATAGACATCCTTGGTAAATACTTGTCGTGTAATAAACATCCTTCTTGGTTGACTATAAATCATAATCCGTCTGATAGTTATAATCTCTCATCACAGGTTGTTGCATACAAAATTATTTAAGAGGTCTTTTACGGTCTCTAAGTAACACTTGATCTATAAGAAACTTATTTTTACAATGCTTGGTCTTTCCACTTTAATGCCGTACCCACTGCAACAGTCAATGTTACCTCGTGATGATGTCCCCATATGCTACTATAGAAAGCATACAATTTTAGGGTGCTCAAGGGGCCACTCCAATTCCGGTCGCAGGCGTTAGATCTGCAAATACTATGTGAGTAATGATTATGTATATTTTATTATTCTTATAAGTTGTCTAACAGCTTATACACTCATTGTCATATTTATTTTTAGGTATAGAATTAAGATCAATATGATTTTCAAGAGTGGTTTAATGATCCCTGTCAGCAGGAATACTACAAAGAACTGATGTTGGTGTCACGACCCTAAACCCGGACCCGGTCATGATAGCGCATCTCGTGAAGACAAGGCCAGCCGACACACTCCTAATTCAATTTTAAGCAATTAAATAATAGAACTAAGTCTTAATCATAGCAACAAATCCCAAAAGAAGGTAATTAATACAGTTTGCGGAAAAAGAAAGACATAGCCCAACATCGGGGTGTCACCAGTCATGAGCATCTAAAATAATACTACAAGTCTAAACGAGTCTACCCCACTATTACATAACTAAAATAGAAGGAAATAAGATAGAGGGAGAAGCACTGGGCTGCGAATCGCCGGGCAGTTATCTAGTGAATCTCCGAAATCTGCTGGATAGCTCTCAACCCTCGCAAGCAGGACCTGATGCGCCTGAATCTGTACACGGGATGCAGGGAGTAAAGTGAGTACTCCAACTCAGTGAGTAATAATAATAAATGCAGATTGAGTAATAAGAAACCACGTAAGGGCATATCAACATACTATAAAGAAGCGGTAAAAGCCAGTGAAAGAAATAAAATAATGGAAAATAGGTAAAGTCACTTTAGTTCAGTTAAAACTTCTTTGGAATGCCTTTTTAACAGTTAAGCAAATAAATGACAGGCAACTAGGAAAGATAAACACATAAAGAACCGCCCCTCGGGCACAATACCAATAGAATTAGCCCCTCGGGCAACACATGGAATAATACCAGCCCCTCGGGCTATCTCTCATGTCACAACGGGTACTCGCGCTCACTAGGGGTGTGCAGACTCCTGGAGGGGCCCCTTATGGCCCAAGCGCAATATCAAGCCATCTCGTGGCATAATCACATAGGCTCTCGGCCTCATATCAACAAGTCACCTCGTGGCATACAAATCTCAGGCCCTCGGCCTTATAATCATAACCAGTGTTTTCTCACAACATAGGCCCTCGGCCTTACTCAGTCAGAATCTCACAAGCCACTCAGGCAACAATAAAACATGATGCTCAGCCCAAATATCATTTAAAATATTATTTTAAGTGTTAAAGTAGGGTAAACATGGCTGAGTTATGAAGACAATAGAATATAGCATGACTGTGTACAAGTATAAAGTCAAAATAGTAAGGAAAATATCAGTAAAAATCCCCTAAGGGTTCAAATAGTTGGCACGAGACCCAATTATGGCATTCAGCCCAAAACATGATGATAGCAAATAGTTTTCAGTCAAATACGCGATAAAATAATCATTCGGGATGGACTAAGTCACAATCCCCAACAGTGCATGACCCCACGCCCGTCATCTAGCGTGTGTGTCACCTCAATATGGTACAACGATGCGCAAATCCGGGGTTTCATACTCTCAGGACAACATTTACAATCATTACTCACCTCTACCCGGTCCAAATCTCTAGCTCGCGATGCCCTTGCCCCTCGAATCGGCCCCCGGATGCTCCAAATCTAACCAAAATCAATGGAAAACCATCAAAATATGCTAAGGGAACAAAGCCCACTTGAAAGAAATCAAATTATAACACAAATCCCGAAAATGGCCAAACCCGACCCCCGGGCCCACGTCTCGGATTCCGATAAAATTTACATCAATGAACTCCTTATCACTCTCTGAATTCATTCATACCAAAAGCATCAAAATCCAACCAAAAATGACCCCTCAAATCCAAAATTCTAGGTCTCCAATTACAAGCCCTAGTTCTTCAATATTAGGCTTAAATTCTATGATTAATTAGGTAGAATTCACATTAGAATCGAGTATTAGGTCCATAAGTCTTACCTCCAAGTGTTCCCCCTTGAATCCCTCTTCAATCCTTTTCAAAAAGCTCCAAAATCGCTCAAATATGGTGGAAGTTAACCTAAAATCGCAGACAAGATGACAATTTAAGCATTCTGCCCAGGCCTCCAAACCTTCTTCGCGAACGCGTCAACACCTCGCGTTCGCGAAGCACAATCTAACTTTGACCAAATTTTTCTCTTACGCGAACGCAATGGCTCCTTAGCCCAACCTTCACAAACGCGCTCCCTTCCTTGCGAACGCGAAGGCTAAATCCTCAGCCTCAACAACTAACCCTTCGCAAACTCGAGGGCCTACTCGCGAACGCGAAGGTCATTTCTCTGCAACACTCAACGACAGTTTTCTGCATTTTTCCAAAACATGAAATGGTCTGATTGACCACCGAAACCCACCCGAGGCCACCGGGACCTCAACCAAACATGCCAACATATCCCATAATATCATTCAAACTTGTTCCAACCTTCGGAACTCTCAAAACAACATCAAAATACCAAATTCGCATCGGATTCAAGCCTAAGAATTCCAAAATCTTCTAAATTACACTTTTGATCAAAACCCAACCAAAACACGTCCGAAAGACCTGAAATTTTGCACACATATCCCAAATGACACAATAGAACTACTGCAACTCTCGGAATTTGATTTTGACCCCTATATCAAAATCTCACCTATTAACCGGAAAACGCCAAAAATCCAATTTCGCCAATTCAAGCCTAAATCTACTTCGGACCTCCAAAACACATTCCGATCACGCTCCTAAGTCCCAAATCACCTCCCGAAGCTATCCAAACCATCGGAACTCACATCTGAGCCCTCTAACACATAAGTCAATATTCTGTTGACTTTTTCAACTTAAGCTTCCTCAAAAGAGACTAAGTGTCTCAAACCTTACCAAATCCTTTCCGAACCCAAGCCAACCAACCCGAGCACTCATAGAACCGATAAACAAAGCAATAAGAAGTAGAAATGGGGGAAATGGAGCAGTAACTCATGAGACGACTGGCCAGGTCGTCACATCCTCCCCCTCTTAAACAAACGTTCGTCCTCGAACGAGTCAAGAAACATACCTGAAGTTTCAAACAGGTGAGGATATCTGCTCCGCATCTCCCTTTCGGTTTCCCAGGTAGCCTCCTCCATGGGCCGACCTCTCCACTGCACTTTCACTGAAGTTATATACTTTGATCTCAACTTTCGAACCTAACGCTCCAAAATAGCTGATGGCCCCATATCATAAGTCAAATCACCATCCAATTGAACCGTGCTGAAATACAAAACATGAGACGGATCCCCAATATACTTTCGGAGCATAGAAACATGAAATACTAGATGCACACTCGACAAGTTGGGTGGAAAAGCAAGCTCATAAGCCACCTCCCCAATCCTCCGAAGCACCTCAAAAGGCCCAAAGAACCGAGGACTCAATTTACCCTTCTTCCCAAACCTCATAACACCCTTCATGGGTAAAACCTTCAATAGAACCTTCTCACCAACCATGTAGGACACGTCCCGAACCTTCCTGTCATCATAACTCTTTTGTCTCGACTGCGCTGTACAAAGCCTCTCCTAAATTACCTTCACCTTTTCTAAAGCATCTTGCACCAAGTCTGTCCCCAATAGCCTAGCCTCACCCGACTCAAACCAACCAACTAGGGATCTACACCGCCTCCCATACAAAGCCTCATATAGAGCTATCTAAATACTCGACTAGTAGCTGTTGTTATAAGCAAACTCTGCAAGTGGGAGAAACTGATCCCATGACCCTTCGAAATCAATGACACAAGCACGCAACATGTCCTCCAATATCTGAATAGTGCGCTCGGACTGTCTGTCCATCTGAGGGTGAAAAATTGTGCTCAACTCAACTTGAGTACCCAACTCTCGCTCCACAGACCTCCAAAACTGCGAAGTAAACTAAGTGCCCCTATCTGAAATGATGGAAATTGGGACACCATGCAAATGAACAATCTCCCGGATATAGATCTCTGTCAACCGCTCTTAAGAATAGGTAGTACA